TCAACAACCTTTGATAAAACAGGAAGAAGAAGAAATGAATGAAGAAGAAGAATTCATCTATGTATGTTAAAATGCAAAAAACTGAAATTGTCTGAAAAATTAAAAAAATTCGATTATTTATGGTGCACAGTGGGGCAGAATGGAAATTTTTTGGAAATAAATCTGGCATTTCTAAACGGCTGATCCGATCGGGATAAAATTTGGCGTGAGCGTAGCCAAGGAGTATTCGAGTTTAAGTTTTGAAGATGAACCCTGCAGATGCCCCAGGGACGGCTCAAAGTAGGGTACCTACGACATGTAAAATTTTTAAACTCGTGCCATTTTTTTGTTTTTCACCCAAATACAAAGATTTTTATATTTTGTGAAAGCGCTCGACGAGATCTTGAAAAAACATGCTTGGACATACTACTTATCTCTTATAATATCCGAGTTATAGGCATTTAAAAATTTAGTGATACAAAATTTACCATACCTTGGTCCGCCTTTTTTTGAATACCGGGCGTAATTTTGGACCAAATGGACTCAATTTTTTCTTGTTAGTTAGACAACAAAATTTCCAATAATATACAATTTCAGATCAATATCGTTTACAGATCCAAAAATATACGTTTTTTAATTTAAAAATTCAAAAAATTTTAGATTTTTGGCGTTTTTTTGCCAAAAATGTGTCTTAACTCTTTTATTAATAAAATAAAATTTTTATTAAGAACATATAACAATTTTATAGTTTTCTAAAAGGTATCTTTACGCAGAACGCTTTGGCGTAAAAAACTTGTCCTATTTTTTGAAAATGTTGCCACTGCGTCCTTCCGAATATGACCTATTTTTTATCAAAACTTCAACTTTGGGCGACATGTTCTAAAATCCCAAAGCTGGGATCAGAAAACTGAAAGCAGTTTTGGAAACCTCAATATGTTTTCTATTTACTCCAAAAGTATTTTCCCAGCCCTGAAAGAAATGTGGACCCTATGGGCAAAAAAGTAAAAAATCCCATTTTTGGGATTTTCATTCCTATTTTTGGGAATTGCGGGATGCCCTTTGACCTTTTCAATTTTTTTTTGCATATTCTTATTTGAAATGACAAATTTAACAAGCGTTGAAAATTTCATTGAGTTTTGTTCATAAATAAAGATTTTGTCATATATTACATATTTGTTTAATTTCTAAAACTATGATTTATATCAAAATTTTAATAGGATCGCAGATAGCTACAACAATTTAGTCCATATTTATCCCTTAATATCATTTTTTAGTTAGATATGGAAATTCTCGACCCTTTACAAAAAATTTCAAGCCAATATCTCAATTACATTCAAAAATATGTTCATTTAAACATGTGTCCTTTAATTTCATCTTTTTCATATTTTAGTATTAAGTATGACAGCACATATTTAAATCTTATATTTACCTATTTTCTATTTGTTTGCTTATCCTTATAATTGAAAGGTCCTATTATGCTTAAATTTTCAAAAATTTATAACTATTTTTTACCTAAATTTTTTCGACAGATCATTTCGTTCTGTTTCGTTTATGATCATGGAGGTAAAAATATACAGGTAATGATAATTTCGATTCATTCACTAATAAGAAAATAGGTAGACAATTCGTAATTTTTTACTTTGGAATACCTGTATCGGAAATGACAAGAATTGGTATATAAGTAAACTTCTCAGATTTTAAGTACCATATTTAATAAATCTACAATGAAGATTACATTAAAGTACGAAGAGTTGTGTTCCGTTTTATGGAGTATATCTTCAAAAGGGCCAGAAAGAATTGAAGACATTTCAAATTATATAAAAACTACATATAGTAGAAAAGTAGACAAAACAGGCATATCAAAAATTGAAAACTTTTTAAAACTTTGTGATGTAAAAAGTAAGTCTGTGGATGGAAATCAAAAGAAATTTCGATTAAAATTTTGTAGTTGGATGGAAACTACTACGGAAATCTCAACTTACAACACATCAATAGGAGCGCCTTGCAAGTCATACGAAGACTTATGTTCAAGGTAAAAAAAAGAGGGTCACACAAAAACTTTTTTCAATCTCAAATGAGGAAATTGCTGATACATTTAACGAAATGCTGAAAAAGGAAAACCAACCTATGGATGGCGTACATATTGCAACTATTCTTCCTGATGCATCACCAAAACGACCTAAGCGAATTGTGGAAAGTATACCAACTCCAACATCACAAATTTTACTGAAGAGGAAGCAATAGCGCTTATGTTGGAACTGGGTCTCAGTCGAAATAAGTACCAAATATTAAGGAAAGCTCTGCATGAAAAAGGACACAATATATTACCATCATACAAGGCGATCCAGGAAAAAAAAACAAACTATCCTACTAAATCAACAAAAAATAATGAAGAATTGAAAGAACTGAGAGCTGCGGAAAAAAGCAGAATCCAAGAAGAATTTAAAGTTCAGATGGGATTAAACATCGACAAACCACTTTCAAGTTGCGGTAGTACAAATGACGGTAATACGCCGAGAAGGTTTTTTCGTGATTTTGAAATTACTTCAAAAATAACTGGAATCGACAAGGAGTTGCTTCGAAGAGTTAAAACTATTTTAATGGCACTGAATAGTAAACATAAAATTAATGAAAATCGATTTGGGGAATACACATCTGAAATTTCTAAATTACTTGTATCTCTGTATCCATGGAGGGAACTAACACCAACAGTACACAAAGTATTGTGTCATGGTCAAATAATAATTGAATCGAATATTCTTCCACTTGGAGAGTTAACAGAAGAAGCCCAGGAAGCGAGGAATCGAGATTTTAAGCATGTTCAACTATTCAGCTCAAGAAAATGCTCCAGGCAATCACAGAATGAAGATATTTTTAATAGTTTACTTCTATCTTCTGATCCTGTTCTTTCAACTATGCGAAAAAGATGGATTTGTTATGAAACTCTATCATCTCAAAAAAAGGAAGATTTAAAGGACTTATATTACCTTCTGGATATGTATACCGATATGACAGATTATTTTATAGAAAATAAGTAGTGTTAGGAATTAACTATATAAGTAGGTTGTAAGAATTAATTGTATTATGTTTAAGATAAACAGTTCAAATAAAAAAAGCTATTATACTAACTGATGATATTGTATTAAATTGTGTTTTATATTTCGGTGGGCGGGAAAGGTAATTTGTGTGGGGTGATTTAGGTGTTGTTGTGCGTGGCTCATAATAAAATTATAATTTTTTTTATTTTATATACAATATTATAATAAAATAATTAACTAAATAATTTTTAAAAATTGTCCAAATATTTTATTCAACACCAAATGTATGTTCTGTCATACTTAATACTAAAATATGAAAAAGATGAAATTAAAGGACACAGGTTTAAATGAACATATTTTTGAATGTAATTGAGATATTGGCTTGAAATTTTTTGTAAAGGGTCGAGAATTTCCATATCTAACTAAAAAATGATATTAAGGGATAAATATGGACTAAATTGTTGTAGCTATCTGCGATCCTATTAAAATTTTGATATAAATCATAGTTTTAGAAATTAAACAAATATGTAATATATGACAAAATCTTTATTTATGAACAAAACTCAATGAAATTTTCAACGCTTGTTAAATTTGTCATTTCAAATAGGAATATGCAAAAAAAAAATTGAAAAGGTCAAAGGGCATCCCGCAATTCCCAAAAATAGGAATGAAAATCCCAAAAATGGGATTTTTTACTTTTTTGCCCATAGGGTCCACATTTCTTTCAGGGCTGGGAAAATACTTTTGGAGTAAATAGAAAACATATTGAGGTTTCCAAAACTGCTTTCAGTTTTCTGATCCCAGCTTTGGGATTTTAGAACATGTCGCCCAAAGTTGAAGTTTTGATAAAAAATAGGTCATATTCGGAGGACGCAGTGGCAACATTTTCAAAAAATAGGACAAGTTTTTTACGCCAAAGCGTTCTGCGTAAAGATACCTTTTAGAAAACTATAAAATTGTTATATGTTCTTAATAAAAATTTTATTTTATTAATAAAAGAGTTAAGACACATTTTTGGCAAAAAAACGCCAAAAATCTAAAATTTTTTGAATTTTTAAATTAAAAAACGTATATTTTTGGATCTGTAAACAATATTGATCTGAAATTTTTTGTATATTATTGGAAATTTTGTTGTCTAACTAACAAGAAAAAATTGAGTCCATTTGGTCCAAAATTACGCCCGGTATTCAAAAAAAGGCGGACCAAGGTATGGTAAATTTTGTATCACTAAATTTTTAAATGCCTATAACTCGGATATTATAAGAGATAAGTAGTATGTCCAAGCATGTTTTTTCAAGATCTCGTCGAGCGCTTTCACAAAATATAAAAATCTTTGTATTTGGGTGAAAAACAAAAAAATGGCACGAGTTTAAAAATTTTACATGTCGTAGGTACCCTACTTTGAGCCGTCCCTGGGGCATCTGCAGGGTTCATCTTCAAAACTTAAACTCGAATACTCCTTGGCTACGCTCACGCCAAATTTTATCCCGATCGGATCAGCCGTTTAGAAATGCCAGATTTATTTCCAAAAAATTTCCATTCTGCCCCACTGTGTGGTGTTACATACAAATTTTTCGTGTGCCATTGAAAGCGACTCTCAAGGACCTTTCTTATGATACCAAATTTCATATCTTTCCTTTGGAAGAAATATCAAAATAATTTGACCCAGCTCACCAAATACTGATGCCAGGACAAATATTTTGAGAAACGGTATCTTAGAATCAATAAAACTTTAATTTTAGATGGAAAATTGACACCTTATTTTTCCTCCATGCCAACGGGTCCACGTACGGTGCATACATATTTTCACAGCAAAATTTCTAAATTTAGAAACACTTTCGCGTTTCACACTTTATTAGGTAGAACGAATGCATTAAAACATTAAAATACATATTAATGTATGCAAAGGATCTCTGATAAAAATGTGTTATTAAACTTGAATAACTTTACTTCTTAAAATAAAATTTTATTATTTATTTTTAGAATTCATCTAAACAAAGTAGTATTAATAGTTTGGCCACAACTAGCACTGCTCCCGTAACGAGTAATCAACAGCTGCGACAAGAAATTACATCTGTACGATCGCCACAACAAGAAAAACCATTAAGAGTTGAAGAAGTGCCAAAGCCGGCGTTGCCTTCGTTACAAATTCATAATATACAAAGACAATCATCTATAACGCCACCTGCAAATCAGAGCTCTAGACCCTATAGTGTGCAATCGCCTAATATGCCGTTGGCAAATATATATCCAACGGCTCCTTCCCCCAACGAATCACAGGCTACCAATGATATGGCAACCACTTACCGTAATACAGAATCGCATCCAGATAGATTAAATTACCCTCTACAGCGTAATACATCCCAATATCAACAGGAATTATCACCTATATCACCATTAAATAATCGCTATTCGACTACCAATGATAGCTTTCAATTTCCCATGCAAAATCAAAGAGTAAGTGAGGAGTTACGAGGACAATTACCTTGGTCATATACCAGTATGCCACCACCTGTGCCAAAAAAACCGCAGATGCATGTTTACCCTGAGATTCCCGCACCAGATTACGGCCACTAAGAACTCAATTGATGGATGGAGGAATGTTACACACACATTCATAAGGAATAATAAATCGTAAAATAGTCTTGTAAATTTAGGGATACATTTTTAATTTGTTGTTGTTGGTTTTTCAAATTATATATTGTTATATTTAGTTAACATTTAACAAAACTTTAAGTGCTTAAATGCCGATTAAAGAAACATGTAATAAAAAAGTATGAATTTTAACTTACGTCTGAATTAAACTTAACTTATGTTTTTTATATTTTGCTAGTTCTTGTAATGCTGTGTTAAAGTCTAATTCCATAGAATTTTCTTTTATAATAACTTCGACTTTAGGTTCTTTTAAACATGCTTTAGATCCTGCAACTACAATAACTGGGTAACCCATCCTGGAAGGAAATTAATTGAGACGAAATAATTAAATTAATTTTAAAAATAATTAATTTTAAAAATATTTTAACTACCTTCTCGCCTCCATCAAACGCTTTCCAATTGTCATATATTTTCTATCATCATGCACCACGTCCTGGCTATACATTTCACAAATCTCTTGACATAATTGATTTTCGATTTGTTCGGCCTGTGCTTGTTCTTTACTGCCTTGTTTAGGTCCTATAATACACACATCATAGGGAGCCAATAAGGTCGGCCATTTTAATTCGTTTTCTGTCGACAATACTTCCAGTGAAGCGGCTAATATCCTACTGATGCCAATGCCGTAACAGCCCATTATAGAAGTTTTAGGTTTTCCATCGGTATGCAAGAAAGTGGCATTGAACACTTTAGAGTATCGATCTCCTAATAAAAATGCATGGGCTACTTCCATACCCTTCACTTGTTGTACGTTAATACTCTGGCAGCTAACACACGATGGGTTAGAACTTTCAGCCGACACTTCAGCATTAAATGCATGATTGCAATTTTGACAATGCAATAAATTATCTTCGCCAGCTGGCGAGAGATAGTGATATTCGTGGGATATTTTTCCACCCATCATACCAGTGCAGGCTTCCACTAAAAAATTCATAGAAATGTATAAATTAAGCAATAATATTTCACACCTAACATATGTACATACATACATACGTACAGTGGTGGAACAAATAATAGAAACGACTTTATTTTGGGGTGAAAACTAAATTTTCTCAAAAGGTACCCGTTAGAATTTGATGATTTGTATCTTAAACAAAAGGTATTTAGGTCTACTTTCCTATGATAAATGGAGTTTGTAAGTTTTTTTTTTCCATCGTTTTTTATTGCTATTTAAAAAATTTGGCATTGGAAAAATAATAGAAAGTCGTGGCCCCAATTCAGCAGTCAGAGATCATATGGTCAACCAGGCGTTGAAAAAAACACACGTTAACATAAAGAACTGAGGAAACAGTATATTTTGATATTGGGAATATCATTTACAATTCAAATTTTTAAAAATAAATACAAAACGCAGTTTAAGAAATCTCAGCTTATGTCCCCAGTGTAATACTGTGAATCGTTTCTATTATTTTTTCCAATGCCAAATTTTTTAAATACCAACAAAATACGATGAAGCAAAAAAACTTACGGGACCTTTTAACTAAATTGACCAAAATTTCTTGTATGTATGTATATATGTATGTATGTATGTATGTACATATGTATGTATGTATGTATGTATGTATGTATGTATGTATGTATGTATGTATGTATGTATGTATGTATGTATGTATGTATGTATGTATGTATGTATGTATGTATGTATGTATGTATGTATGTATGTATGTATGTATGTATGTATGTATGTATGTATGTATGTATGTATGTATGTATGTATGTATGTATGTATGTATGTATGTATGTATGTATGTATGTATGTATGTATGTATGTATGTATGTATGTATGTATGTATGTATGTATATATGTATGTATGTATGTATGTATCTATGTATGTATGTATGCATGTAAAAAATTAAAGTTTATGTTTAAATTTGATTAATAAAACATGGCCCGAAATGATTTCTAACAGTTTAAAAGATTATAAAATTAGAATCTAATGGTTAGATCTAGTCGTCTAATTTACATTACTTCCTTAATGTAAACAAATAAGGAAAAAAGTGGGACACTTCTGTTAAACATAAAAAAACATAATCCCTGCATAGGCAATTTTGATAGGCATTCCAACACTTCCTAATAAATGAGGAAAATGAAAAAAGTTTAACCAAAGGTGCTTTAGAAATATGTACTCTAGTTCCTGGCCAATATTTTTCAAATTTATACGGGCTGTATTATTATTTACTCCAAAATTTAATTGAAGTAATATTTCAATACAAAGCAAATAAAAGTTTTCGAAACCGGTTTTCAAAAAGTAAAAAACCGAGTTATTCGATATCCGAAAAATCAACATTTAGAAAAAACCGACACTGGCAAAGCAGAAAAAACCGGTTGAAAAACCGAGCCGATTACCCTAGAGTTTATAAAAAAATGACTTTTGGAGAAACCGGTTTGTCGGTTAACCTATTGGCTATTTGTGCAAAATTGCATCAAATCATCTAGAAAATTGGTGGAGAAATTTAAATCGGAACTGACCAGAAATATTTCTGCAGAAAGTTTGTTCCACATACAAGAGTCCGGCTGAAGAACGATTTTCCTTGGTTTACGGACAAAAAACGTGTTCGCTCTTAATAAATATCTTTGTGTAAAAAAAATTGAACAACTAACCTAATTTCAGAAATATAAATTCCATTGTATTATCCAAAATACTTTAACAGTAAATAATATATTTTTTTACTTTTCCGATTTCTTGACGATTTAAAAATTATTTTAACGATTTTGCCGATTTTTAAGACCAGTTTGGACGATTTTATGCCAGTTTTATCTAGCAACAGTGATTATTATGCATTCCATAATAATGTAATTTCTGAAACAAACCGACATCAACCTACTTTGTTGAAGGTTTTCAAGCAACTAAATAACATTTTTGTATTTTTTACGCTCTTGTTAATAGCGAAAATCTTCATATACAGAATACTATGATCAGCGATGAAATTCAACATAATTAACGTTTATATACCAATACATCCTCCAAATTTTATGAGGATCTGTCCATATTTGACCGCTTTGACTAACTCCTATATAAAGACTCTTTTAAACAACTGTTGTTCATCAATGAATTGCTTAAATGCATTGGAATTAAAGAAATATTCAACATTAAAGTTTCTCTATGATAAATAAATAATTGTGAAAATATACTCATGGTGTATCATACTGTTTTTTACTACATGTTTTTTTTATTTTTTTAGTTTATATCTGCATTTAATACGCTTAAAATATTTTTAACATTTATGCAAAAAGTTTAGGATTATATTCATAAACAAGAAAAATTATATTATCATTCTTATATAAATGTCATGATGCTTTAAAAATCGTTTTCTGTTCATGTTTTCTGAATGAAGCCTAATACTTATTACAATTCAAAACATTCAATTTTATACTAAAAATTACAAATATTTTAAATCGGTTAACCGAGCCACAAAAAAACGGATAAACAGGTTAACCAAAAATCAATATTTTCAAAAAATCGTTTCACGAAAAACCAAAATATGTATTAATAACCGATTTTTCGGTTAACCACATATGAATGAACAAAAACTTAAACCTTTATAAACACATTCTTTTAAATTTACTCAATAAAGTCTTTATAATGTGCAAAACAATCAGCAAACGTTTGCGAAATTAAGTTAATTTTTTCTTACAACTTATTCAATCAGCATTGAAACCATTCAAACCAATAGTTTAGTATTCGTTGCTTTTGAGAGTATTCGTTGACATTTGCAGAAGACAAGCAATACAAGCATCATTTTTCGTTGCACTCATTTGTTTTGAATAGTGCCGTGCATTGCATTATTAAATTAGTGCATATTGTCATTTCAAGGGTCGTTTTATGCGATTGTATTCATAATCCAAAAAATAAGCATTCAAACCGTTCTCTGATTCTTACAGCCTTATGATCGTTTTTCGATCATAAAACCTTGGAAAACCCTAGTGCAAATATATTTCCATACATACCTCTTCTAAATGGCACTTCTAGTTGTTGAAACAACTTCATATATGCTTCATTAACTAATTTATAGGTTATTCTGGCCTCTTCTTCGGACCGATCAAAAGTGTACATGTCTTTCATTATAAATTCCTTAGCACGCATTAATCCAAAGCGCGCCTTCAATTCATCGCGAAATTTTGGGCCAATTTGATACAGCCGTAGTGGTAGTTGCCTATAAGAAATGGGTGACGCTGTAGCTAACATGGATGTAACTGCTTCTTCATGAGTCTATTAAAAAAATAAAAATATACATTTCAATAACGTAATTGAAAGTATCATTAGTTTCTACCGGACTCAATAAAAACTCCTTATTATGACGGTCATGTAACATAAAAAACTCTGTAACATCGCCTTTTAATCTTCCCGATTTGTTCCACAAGCTGGATGGTGTTAATATGGGCAATGTGATTTTTTGTCCTTCCACGGAGGCCATAGCCTCATTGACTACAGCGCATAGTTTATCTAAAGAACGTTGCGCAAGTGGCATTATTTGAAATGTGCCATGACTAGCTGCTTTCAATAGACCCAACTCAGTCATTAACTAAAAATGATTTCTGAATTTACTAACTTCAATTTGCAATTTTATTATAAAATACCTTTTGACTTTTGGATACTGTTTCGACATTTTTGGCAACTGCATTCTTTGGAGTTACTAGAACCGGCCAAAATAATCGCGATAATTTTTGCATTTTTAATTGTTACCAAAATAGTAAATAAATCCAATTCATACAGGGTTGTTATGTATTTATCATCTCCAGAACCAAGGCGAATTCAGATAAGGTGGTGTTATTCAATCAGCTGATAATTTTTTTTTTAATTCGCCTGTTTTACGTAGCTGTCAAAGTTTGTTATTGTTTACATTTTTATATTTAAAAATTTCCGTTAAACGGAGAAAAACTTCGTTAATATTTTGAATTATTTATGTAAAAAATCTAAAAATACCAAGCATCTCGCAAACAAATATCATTTTATTTAAATAATGGCATAATTGGTATGTATACAAATATGTTATTTAGGAAAAATATTTTTTCTATTAAATGTTAACATATTAAACAATATTGTTTTATATTTTATATTAACATTGTGTAGATAACGTGATTAACTAAAAAAAATCTCTTCCGGAACACTTTATATAAAGAAACACATATTAAAAATTTAGCCGAACAGCGGAAGCTTACTTTTAATTTTGAAATCTATTAAATGTTAACAAATTGAATATATATACAAATTTTATATATACACTGTGTAGATAAAGAGATTAACTAAAAAAAGTCTGTTCCGGAACGCTTTATATAACAAAACCCATATGAAGTATTTACCCGTCCGGCGGCTGCTACATTATGGCCAAATATTGAAAATTACTCCGCCGGAGTAGAATTATCCATTCGCAACAAATATTCATTCATTCGTAATATAATATTTTCATGAATATGTACTTTTTTATGTTTATTTTTCACAAAAAATTAAGTTTTACTTAACTTCACGCACTGACTTACATTTTGCAAATTAATCTTCCGGAATAGAATTATTCGTTTGAAACAAACATTATTCAATTCAGAATATATTTTCTTCACAAATTTTGATATCTTTATCTTTATTTTTAATAAAATATAAAAATTTTAGAAAAATTTTTCATGAAATGAATTCGCCGTACTTATGGTTTTTGACATCTACGTAAACCAAATGCAAAAACAAAATACATGTAAAATGTTGTTGTTACAGAACTGCCACCACCTTATCTAAGTTCGCCTTGAACACCACCTTATATGAATTCGCCTTGGCCACCACCTTATCTGAACTCGCCTTGGTATTCACTTTTACTAAATTCGTTTTTCCAACCTCTCAGAAACTTGAAAAACGATTTTGTTAATAATGAACGCGATGTTTCAAAATTTGTATAAACCAAATTTTAGTGAAAAAGAACGTCAGGAAATACGGAGAAAAGAACTATTGCAGCAACAAAAACTTAAACGTTTGAAACAACAAGATGAACAGAGGAGTCTCAAAGACCCACATGCTAGTGAATATAAAAGAAAGTTTTACCATAAAAAGCGTAAGATCAACAATAATATAGAAAATATCAACCTACAACTTTCTGAGTGGCTTAAGGAGAAGCCAGAAAATTTTGATGATTGGCTATTAGTGCCTTGTCCCAAGGGTCAACGTTGCATAGTGGTTGCAGCAAGAGGAGAAACTAAAATGTTTAGCAAAAATAAGAGATATCGTATGACATTCTCTAGTTTATTACCTGGTGGAGGTATTTTAGGTTCAAGCAATGACTCCTGCATATTAGACTGTATATATAGCAAAGAAATGGATATTTTCTATATACTGGATGCTTTACATTTTTCAATACCTTTGGTGGACTGTGATGCCGAATTTCGTTTCTTTTGGTTAAAATCAAAATTAAACGACCTTGACGAATTCGAAAGAAAGCTTAAATATGATGACCTAAAGTTGTTTGAACTTTTAGAATACTACGATATGTCAAATGAGGAGCGTACATCAGTAGCTTTGCAGAGGTATCCCTTATGGGTGGATAATCGACCGCAATTAGATGGATTTCTATTTTATCATAAAAAGTCTCATTACGTATGTGGTACTACCCCCTTAGTTTGCTGGCTATTTGCATTTATGCTGCCCGATGTATTACAACTACCAGTCAGTCGTTGTTATGAACCCCCAGATAATTACTGTAAACAGAATCCTTGGCAGTATATGGATGAATTTGATAAACGGTTAAAAATAAAAACAAAACAATGGAATCAACAGGAATATCCTTTAGAAGAAAATTCTACGGCGATGGATGAAGATTTGGAATATGTAGAAGAGAACTTAGATGAAACTTGTATGGATAAGGATAACGTGTTAGATTCTTTACTAACAGCAGAGAAACTACTAGAATTGGCGGAAGAAAATTGAATATCTACTGGGGAAAAAATATTCATATTCTCGTGGACTGAAAACCAAAGTAAATATTTTACATACTAACGGCCTTACTCATAATAAAAAACAAGTAGGAAAGTATAGTCGGGCATGGCCGACCATATAATACCCTACACCATGAGTATATTTTAAAAATTTAAATTTTTCACAAAGAAACTTTTATGTTGAATTTTACCTTAATTCCAAAGTATTTAAGCAATTTATTGATAAAAAACAAATTTTCTAAATGAGGCTTTATATAGGAGTATAGGTCAAACATGGGCCGATCCTCATTAAATTTGGGAAAAGGATATATTGTTAAATAATAGTTAATTATGTTGAGTTTCATTGCGATACAAATGGTTACAAGTCAGTTTTAGACGTTTAAGACATTTTTTGAAGGGGGGTTTGTATGGGGGCTAGGGTCAAATAAGGGCCGATCATTACGAAAATCTGCAGTGACATTTATATTTATATAAAACTTATTTGTGCCAATTTTTAGAGAGATAATAGCATATTTGACGTAATTATGGCATAAAAAGCCCAAATCGGGAGGTACGGTTGTATGGGGGCTAGGTGAAATAATGGACCGATTTCAACCATTTTCAATAGGCTTCGTCCTTGTGCCAAAAAACATGCTTGATCCAAATTTCATCAAATTATCTTGAAAAATGCGGCCTGTATCTTGTGCACAAGGTTTACATGGACAGCCAGCCAGCCAGCCGGACAGACGGACGGACGGACATGTCTTAATCGACTCAAAATGTGATTCTGAGTCGATCGGTATACTTAAAGGTGGGTGTAGGACCAATATTTTTGTGTGTTACAAACATCAGCACAAACGTATAATACCCTCCCCACTATAGTGGTGTAGGGTATAACTAGCTGCTAACTTTTTAATGTGTAAATTCTGATAAGGAAAAGATAGAAGCTTGCTAACAAGGGTATAGTTTTTATATTTTTTTTACTTAACGGGAATTATTTGAGATAGTAAAACGATACGCTTTTATCGTGACCAAACTGGAGAACGGTTAACCCATTTGATAAAAGGTCTTTAACAAAAGAATTAATGTATGAGAACAAATAATTGTGAAAATTAGTGGTGTTCTTATTACAATAAATAATAAGAAGAAATTACAAATGACAAATATAAAATATAAATATTTAAAAACATTTTATTTTATATATCGTCACCTAAAACGCAACATTTTTAAAATTTTTAAAAATTTACAGGAGAAGCAAAAAACTATTTATATTGAAAAGTTTGTTTCATCAACGCGATTTATTTGTAGTAAATAAACAAATTTTTTAATAGTGAAACCTTTTAGTTGTTTTTATAGTTGACAAAGACGTATATAAAAATGGATAAATAGGACTTTTCACCTTTAACCGTCTTGTCTATACCCGAGAAAATTACGTACATCAATACCCAACATACCCGGGTATATCATACAATTTATATGGCTATTTCATCTTTTTATACATTTCTAGTGTATAATTCAGTTAATTATTAAAACTATCATATGCAAAAAACCTAAAGAAAAACGCCTTCATAACGTATAATGTAAATTATACAGAATTTGACATTGCAAAATTTTGACTTCTAGAAGCTATTACTCAGTGACCGGGAAAGATAATTGAACAAAACTTTATACATATATATTATTTATTAAGATGTATATAATCGATTAACATTAAAGAAATTGTTTTTGCTTTCGTACTTAGGGAACTTTTTTGGAAAAAAAGATTGCTAAGTCATGGTCAAAAATTAAAATTTTAAAATTTAAACTTAAATATTTTTGTTATATGAGAATAAAATTATTATAATCAGCATAATTTTACGTTAATAAACCATATACAATAAAAGATAATTATTTCATCAAAATCGGCCCAAATTTGTTAATGATACAGGGTCCACAAATATTTCACATTCAAATTTATGAATAAAGACACATGACTCTGTATTTGAAACTAAATTTGTAATTTTTTTTTCATATGATACAAGAATATATATAATTCTGATAATAAAACATAAAATTTATAATGAAACTTAATTTTTGTCCGATTACTGACATATAATTTTTATACATACCGGGGTATGTTGGGTATTGATACACGAGGTAAAAATGGAAAATCGGTCATAAATCGGTTTAAAATATATATATCAAACTAATTTTTGGAAAATGTATAGAAAACATTACTCTGAAAGCATAGTCCAAATTTCAAGCCGATACGATATATATATTTCGAGGTATTGACATAACGGTTAATATTTAACTGTTTTTGTAGATAGAGCCTTTTGTTTCTTGTCAATAAAATCGCTAATTTTGGTCGGAGGAGTCCAATTTTTTTGTATGGACATTGATATTGATGCAATACATTAGAATAACAATAAAATCGATTTTGTATTTTTGGTTAGTTAGGGCCGTTTGCGTTTCAGGTGACGATATACATAAATTTTCTTACATTTATTATACGCTTACATCTATAAACCCATTATAATACAAGGCGAGTATTAATTTGTTGTTACGCCTTTTGAATTTTATGTTTGTCAGTTTTTTTGACAATAGAGTTTTAAAAATTTGCGACTACATGTATTTTGACGCAGTAGACCATTTTCTTTTTGCAATTTTTGCGAATATCAAAAATATCATAGCAAGACCTTAAAGGACATAAACAGATATTAAGAAATATGATATTAGTTCCCGCACCAAAGCCGATGAAGTTCTGTATAAATATTAATTTTTCTCATGGTTTGCCACCGATACCGGTATTGATACCGATACCGATATAAGTTTACGGTATAAATACCGATATTCAAATACCGTTTACCCTTATACCGGTATATTACCGGTACAATTCAGTTATCATAACTGTATAAATACCGAATCAATACCGGTATTACACCAGTTTCAATACCGTCATCTTGCCTTAATTTGCATTAATGTTAGCAATACTTAGTGGTAAAAATTAGATATTTATATAAACGAAGCATGGAGCCTAATAAGATCGTGGCATAAAAACATCATAAAACTTTTAAATTATATAATTTTGATATTTTTTTTTTAAATATCCTGAGATATAATTCATAGCTATGCCTCTGAAAAATTTCAGTGAAAAATACAACTTACAATTTGCAAAAATCAACACTTGAAATATTGCTAAAATGGAATTTGGCGAGCAAATGTTTTTTATTTATTCTTTATTGAATCTTTTATAGAAATTTACAATAAGTATTAAAATCTTAACCTAAACTATAACTAACGTTGTTATTGCCACTGCAATTTCAACAAAAGTTCTCGATAATTTTATTATCTGCCAAAATCCAGCGTTTCAGCAAATGTGAGTGCATGTTTGTAATTTGTGCACTTTATTTGAAATAAAAATTAAACTAAAAAAGCAAATTTTGTGATTTCTTTACATAATAAACCTATAACGAAATGAATTACAATTTGAACCAAAAAAAATTTAGCTCGAAACACCACTCTGTGCGATTTTTTACATGTGCTATACGTCGCCTTTTCATTGAAAAATTACTTTTACCGGAATGATGAGTCTACAAAATACTCAGATAGTCTTCTTTCCTCAATATTTCGTCGATTATTTCCATTGGTCCAAGGTGTCACTATGTAAAACAATCCCATGCCATAATCGTGTTTTATTGTTTCCTTGCGCTTGTGCCATTGGTTTCTCTTCCCAGGCGGAGGCAGCCATTTTGCCAGAATCGACGCACTTTGCAGACTCCACCTTTGTAGAGTTATAAACTTAAATTTGTAGAGCCATCATCCTGGTCATATAAATAAGAACGCCAATTCTGCTAAATATAATGAATGTTTCAGCAGGATCGTGACCAAAATACATTATAAAAATAGTGACAATGGCTTAGCGAGCTAAATTTTTTTTTTTATTCTATTATTTCCAGTGTCTAGTAATCGTCTCTAATTTTAGGACTTAGGACAAATTAAAAAAAAATAAAAATAATTTTTTTAAGTTATAGTTGCATTTTCTGAAATATTAAATATGCGATAATTATTTTAACTTGCGCTGATTTAGGGACAATTTCATGAATAGGTACTATTTTTATATTAAAATAGCTTAACCCGTATTTTTAACGACTTTTAAAATTCTACTATTATGCCGTTTTAACTTTGCACACATCAATCTAACGTTTTAGTATTTATCATGTGTAATTATTATTCCATTCAACCATTAAATATTGTTCTTGTCGGAAAAAAATTGTATCAAATTCTTAAAAATTTTGGATTTTACTCATATAACTTGTTATTATTAAATTAGAGTTCATATCACTTGGTGATATTGTTTTTAATAAGCTTTTATTTTATAAAATATATTTTTAATTAATTCTAAGAAGTAAGAATGGATCCTCGCATTTTTAAAAATCTCTACTCAACTGTATAATGTGTAAATTTCTCATAAAAATCGGATCACAACTTTTGATATTTAAATGTGTTTTACTATAATTTTGTATTGGAATTTAAAACTTTAAAACGTTCTTCTAAAAAGTAGAAAAAAACAACTTGCCTATTTACTATAAAAATATTTTATAAAAATTATAAAAAATATGTCCTTTTATTGTGAGTTTTAAATATGTTTAAATAGTTTTAAAATTGTTCATTCGTAACTGTAATAAGACATAGTATGAAGCATAGATGCGAATAAGGGCATAAAGACCACTTTGTCCAAATCGCGTTTTTCGACAATATAGTGTTCACCTGGTCTATTTACATACATACATATATATTAACATACATATGTATATTCCTGAAAATAAAAATTGAAAAATCCAAAGTTTTCGCCAAATATACATAAAGCACGTTTTTATACCCTCCACCACCATCAGTGGTGATAGAAAAAAAAATTCCCAAAATTACGTTTTTACATGAAACTCGAAAATATAAGCGTGGATATAACCCACAACGAAGGATCCAAAATACAAATTAATTTAACCCAAATATTTTAAATATTCGTGGATAAATTCGCTTTTTAAGAGTTTTTTCAACCTCTTCAAAAAATATATTTTTATAC